CAGCCTCCCTCTTCTCTTCTCTCTCTCCTCACCCAGACCCCAGTGGCCCCTCACCAGACTCTGACAGCTGTCCACAGAGGCAGGATGGGGCAGGAGGTGTGGAGGGCTGAGGCTTGAGTGGAAGAGCTCAGGAGAGAGAGGGGCTGCTGTGAGGAGCCCCTGGATTCCAGGTCCAGGCGTTCTCCAAACAGATGTTTCCAATAAATCACCCAGCGCACCAAGGGCAAAAACAGCTGGGGGCTTGGCAGAGGCCGAGGTGAAGGTTAACTGCTTCACTGCTGTTCCCCCAACCCCAGCCACACCACACCACCACCCCCACCACCACCACCACTCTTGCCAAAATCCCAGGACCCCAAGGGCAGGAGAATGGATTTCATGGGGGGTAGGCAGGTGGGGTCTAGCGCTCTGAGCCCCTCCCCTTGCCTTGCCCCTCTGCCTTTTCTGGAGTGGGCACTGGACTGAGAGTCAGGATCTAGGCTCAACTCTGCTGCTGTGTCATGGTGTGGCTCAGTTTCTCCTCCCGCAGAGTACAAGTCCGGCTGGGTGCCCTGTGATGGACCTAAGAGTGAAGCAGGCAGAAGAAATAGAGCAGAGCTCTGGGAGGCTGGGTGGGCCTGGGCCCACCCTTTCCCCATCACCCTTTCTCTTTATCTCCCCAGGCCAGCCTCAGGGGAACCCCTTGGGCTGCACCCCACTACTGCCAAATGGCTCTGGCCACCCCTCGGAGCTGGGCAGTGCCAGGCGGGCAGGGAATGGTGCCCTGGGTGGACCCAAGGCCCACCGGAAGTTGCAGACACACCCATCCCTCGCCAGCCAGGGCAGCAGGAAGAGCAAGGGCAGCACAAAGTCCGCCACCTCGCAGATCCCCCTGCAGGCACAGGAAGGTAGGCACCCATCCCCCCTCTCCCCCGCCTCCCAGCTGGTTCCTCCAAGCGTGATCCACAGACCAGCAGCAGCATCTCAGCCTCCCTCCAAGCCTCCTGGATCTGAATCTCTAGGGTTTAATAAGCCTCCTAGGGAGTCTGATGCGCCCTCAAATTTGCCAAAATACACCTGTTGCAAAGTACACCTGTTGGGTAAAGCGAAGCATACCTGCATTCTCAGGGCCACCCCCACCAATCCCTGCTCTCCCAGAGTTGCTGTAACAAGGAATGGAGCCCCCTGGGCTGATCCAGCTTAAGCAATTCCATTTCTGGAAACAGTGGACCATCTCTTTAGTGAGAACAGAAAAACATTTAGCAGAATAAAAGGATGCTTAACTGGGGGCTGGGGTGGGGGCTGCGAGGTGTAGTGTGAGATCCGAGGACCCAGATAGTCAACCAGCTGTTGTTCCTGCAACACAAATACCCTCTGCAGGGCCGCCTTGGGCAGCCTGTAACTCAGTGGCTGCCTGACCTTCACCCCAGAATTTTTAAGTGACTCCTGCCCACTCTGGGGGACCCTGGCCTGATCATCTGCAAACAGGATTCGATTTACACATTTACACATAACATGTTCAGAAACCTTCCCACCCTGTAGAGCAGATTTTGCCTGACAGTCCTATTTATGAAGGGAGTATTCATTCATTGCAAATGTCCTGGGCATCTGCTATGTGCTGGGTACCCAGTTGGTGCCCTGCTAAGGCCCTCATGAGAGAGACACAGACAGGTAATCACCATATCACGCGATAAGTGCAGTGATAAAGTCCCACACAGAGGATTATGTGAATGCAAGGGGACACTCCTGAGAAAGCTGGGGAGGGAAGCGTGGGAAGGCTCTGGTGGAGGTGTCTGAGCAAGTCCTCAAGGATGAGTGGAAGGATCCAGCCAGGGGAGCATTAGCGCAGAGGTGAGAAATGGCTAACGTGGCTGGAGGATGAAGTGCAAGGCGAGGAACAGTGAGAGGTGATGTAAACTATGCAGTAGACCTAGACACTATGTGGAGGGCAATAGGGAGCTGTGGAAAGGCTTAAACAAGGTAATGTGACCTCATTAGATTTGCATTTGAAGAGAACTATCCTATTCAATATAGAAACAGATTGCAATACCCTGTACAAGACCCTACTAGTCTCTCCACACGGGAATGCAGGAGGACAAGGTCAGACACTCCATAGCTGAGTGAGAGTCCCAGAGGGCCAGCAGCCTCATTCCAGGGGCCCACCTGGTCAGAGGAACTGGACACTCTGCCCCATAGCCCGGCCCCCAGGTGGGGTGCAGCTCAGTATCCAGTAGTACACTGAGGGGTTCAGAGCATGGGCTCTGGAGCCAGCTCCACCATTTGCCAGCTGGTGCCCAAGGGCGGGTTCATGCATTAATTCATAAACATTTACTCACTGAGCACCTACTATGTGCCAGGCACAGTTCTAGGGACTTGTAACATATCAGTGAACGAAACAGACAAAGATACCTGCCCTGGCGGAGCTTGCATTTCAGCAGGAGGAAGTGACAGTAAATGTGTGGAAGTTGTGTAGAGCAGTGGAAGGTGGGGAATCCTCTGGAGGAGACAGGCGGCCAGGCAGGGTGAGGGGATGGGAGTACTGGGGTGGGGTGAGCAGGTCTCAGTATTGAATGGGGGATGGCAGAAGGCCTCAGTGAGAGGTGACATTTGGGCAGAGAAGGAGGTGAAGGAGTAAGCTGAGCAAGTATCTTGGGCAAGATAGTTCCAGGCAGAGGGAGCCGTGTCTGCATGGGAGCAGAGAGGTCCAGTGGAAGGGAGGTGAGAGAGGGCGACAGAGAAGGAGCAGGGACCAGATCATGCAGGGCCGCGGGGGCCACTGCGAGGACTTCGGCTTTTCCTCCAAGTGAGGTGGGAGCCATTGAAGGGTTCTGAGCAGAGGAGGGATGAGATCCGGCAGAATTTTCTAAAGGATCCCTCTGGCCACTGTGTGGGATGGGAGTAGATGCTAGGAGGGGCGGTCAAGGGCAGGAGAGGGGAGACCCGTGAGGAGGCTGGCGCAGTTGCCCAGGTAAGAGATGAGCAGAGTGGTAGGACTGTGGAGATAGACTTAACTTTTCCGTGCCTCAGTTTCTTCATCTGTAGAGTGGAGCTAATAATAGCCCCACCTCACAGAGCTGTTGGAAGTTTTAGTGGATTTCATTCACACACAGCACTTAGAACAGTGCCTGGAACATGTCATCACTTCGAGTGTTTATTAAATAAATAAACTAAGGCGGTTAAGAGCAGGGATGCCCAGTCCAGGCTGCCTAGGCTAGAACCCCCACTCTGATGTGCATAACTCTCTGTGCCTCGGGGCATCACCTGTATCATGGGGTGGGGGGCACACAGAAAGCACTCAGTAACCCTGCCCCTTCCCATGGCTATTTCACACGCCCCCTCTGCCTGCCCCGCAGACTGCTGCGTCCACTGCATCCTGTCCTGCCTGTTCTGCGAGTTCCTGACGCTGTGCAACATCGTGCTGGACTGCGCCACATGCGGCTCCTGCAGCTCCGAGGACTCCTGCCTCTGCTGCTGCTGCTGCGGCTCCGGTGAGTGCGCCGACTGCGACCTGCCCTGCGACCTGGACTGTGGCATCCTGGACGCCTGCTGTGAGTCCGCCGACTGCCTAGAGATCTGCATGGAGTGCTGTGGGCTCTGCTTCTCCTCTTGACCCATGGTCAGGGCCGGCCTGCGGGCACTCCCAGCACAGCTTCCAGCAGGGGCCGGCTAAGTGGGACCGGCTCCAGGGCTGTCACACAGAGCTTGATAAACCCCCTCCCCCTGGTCCCCTTCCACCCACCCAGAGACCTCTCTGAACCCCAGCCCCAGTGAGAAGGGGGGTCGCTCAGAGGGGCCACCTCAGCTGTGGGAGCTGGGCCCATGGCAGAGAAGCCTGTCCTCCTTGCTGAGTTAGCAGGGACAGACGTCGCCGGGACCTGGTGGGATGGGATGAGCCTAGGGGAAGGGGTAGGGTAGGGGTCATTCCCCAGGACCAGCCGCCAGGGCTGCGGAACACTGTGAAAGTTGGGGGGGTCAGGACCATGGGGAGGGCAGGGCCGGGGTTGGGGCTGTGTACCTCTCACTGCTCCTGGTGCCGCCTCTCCCTGCCACCCCAGGCTTAGAGGACAGCAAAATGTGAAAAGAGACCCCATCCCACTGTCAGCCAAGCCCCTCCCATGTCTCCTTTCCTGGACTTTTGTGGAGGCCCAACCCATGCAGTGACCCCAGAGGGCAGGGCTAGACGTGGGCCTGGGGTGGGGTGGGAGGGGAAACAGTACGGAAAAGACTGGAAGGGGAGAGGGAGGGAATGGAGGGAGGGTCTGTTCTGTTTGTTGCTGTAAATAAAGATGTTTGTCCATCTCAGATTTCATCGGGACTCGACTAATTTCTGTGGACCACCACTCTCAAAAGCAAACACTCCCTACAACCCCCTAAAACGCACCCAAATGGATCAGGCTTCCCTCTTCTGCTTTTCTTACCCCAGAAAGCTGCGCTGTCCTTCACATTCCCGTCCCTCCTTCACATTGCCCCCAGGGGGAGGAAGGAAGGGGTTCCCTGCCATCATTTCCTCTTCCCACCACAGGGAAGGGAAGCCCAGAGAGGGAAGAGTTAACCCTTGGCGTGGGATTAATTAACAACAGATGTGTTCGGGTTTTGATTAATTAATCTCCTGCTGACTCCAGCTTCTTGAAGCTGTTCACAATGAAGTGGCTCCAAGGCATAGGGTGACTCCCATGTCAGTGGCAGAGGGGTGCTGGCGGGGAGTGGAGGGTGACACCAGGCTTGGCACAGTCTGGACTTGCACCCGGGCTTCACTGGGAGGCAAGCTGAGGCCTGAGTGGAGGTCGCACACCCAATCTCCATTGTCCCCCAATTGCCAGGGGGCCTGAGAGAAGGAAACTCAGACTGCAGGAGCCTCATAGGCCTCTGTCCAGGGCCCCTGGTGTGCAGAGGGGAGGAGCCTGAGCATCGTACTGCAGGGTGCACTGGGGGAGCGGGGACCCTGACGGGGGGGCGCTGGCTGGGCTGAGCACCCCTCCACACACACACATCCTGGACTTGGAGGAAGCCAGAAGAGGGCAGGGGGGGGGGGAATGAGAGGGTGTCACATGGTTAGCCAGACTTGGATTGTACTGAGAGGAGGCTGAAGAAGGCCTTGAAAAGTGGGAGTCCAAGCACTGCTTCCAGGAACAAAGGCTGGAATGGTTCGGAAGGATTCTGGAAGGAAGGAAGGAGGGGGACTGTGCATAAGGGCCAAAAAAGTCAGGGAGTGCATTTCAGTTGTGGCAGCAGGGAAGGTCATTGCAGGCGGTGAGAAGGACTGCCACCCGCCCCACGCCACCTCAAGCACGCAGAACTTACTTTGCTGGCTTCAAGGTTTTCTGACCTCTGGGACCACCCAGGAAACTCAGGACACAGGAAGGAAAGGGCCTGCCCTAGAGAAAAGGCCCTAGGCCCCCCTAGTGCTCATTTACTTGTCTGTTTGTGTTTATTCATAAGTTTTTGTTTAGTTATTGATGCACAAGCTACAAAAGGCTCAAAAGTCTGATCTGCACATGCACAAGCATTGACACATATACATTATCTTTCTTTACAAAAACATGAGGCTCCTGTGCACACTGTCTGCACCCTGTCTTTGTCACTTGACTCCACATATTGGGGAGCTTCGTTATCAGCCCGTCGAAGAGCTACCTGGAGCTTCACTGGATGGATGAGCCTCAGACCATGGCCCAGCTCGGCTCTTGGTCCATTCCTAACCTCTCTTACAAACAAGCCTGTGTGAACATCCCCTCTTGCATGAAAGAGCTACACTGGTGGAGTATTCCTAAAAGTGGGATTGCTGGGCCTAAAGGTGCATGCATTTGAAACATTGATAGGACTGTCTGATATGGCGTTGAGAGGTGTCCACTTCTCCCCCAACACTGGCTCTTTCTGTCTGAGGAGAGACTGTGGCAAGAGGGGTTCCTGAGACCCGAGACCCTGGGATCCAAGGGATATTAGGGAGGCCAGGAGGACTGGGGGGCGGGGTTTCCAACCAACTCATGTCTGGTTCAGGTGGGCAGGAAGACCCCCTTCTGGCCCTCTCTCCTCCCCGGCAGGGGCTGTGGCAGGAAGAGGCGCCTCGGCAATCCAAACAGTGATTTCCTGCTGCAGGCTCCGCAGGGCTGTTTTCTTTAGGACAGTGGCTGAAACCTGAGAGGCTGAGCTGGGTGGGGACAGGACAGGGAAAGGATTTAGCCAGCCCCCCAACACACACACACACACTCCAAATACACACAGACTCTCCATAAAGTCACATGCTCACATGCATTCCACACAGTCACACCTCCCCCACACTCACAGCACATGTAGACACACACATGTGCACTCACACATTTCACATCTCAGAGCCTGCTGCCACCGCCACGTCTGGCCAGCCTGGGGCTGGGCTGCAGAGAGCCCTGTCCACCCCCACTTCACCACATGCCTGCCCTGCCTTCTCCATCTCCCCCATCTTTGCCCAGGTGGCCCTCATCCCTGCTGGAAAGCAGATGACACTTGTCTGCAGGCCACCCACCCACTCTCCCCTGCCCAGATATCCTCCCAGGGCTTGCCCTGGTCCAGACCCCTCCCCTCTCCTACACAGCAGTCCTCCGCTGGCCTCCAGTCCCACTGGCTGGACTGAGCCAGGTGACATTTCTGGGCATGGCTCTTCTGCGAGCCCCAGGGAAGAGGCCCATTCATTCTCTGGGCCTTACTTTCCTTGTGTGTATCATGGAACAGCAATGAGACTCTAGGAAGCTAATGGTTGTCAATACCCCGCCTCTCTGGTTTTCTTTCATCTTTGAATCAGTAGACCAGCCCACTTCTGCCCAGGAGACTTCTTGAGGGGCTTCCCTCATCCCTGGGTTGTCCAAACTGGGGCAGCATTACCATGCTTGTGGGAAGTAAGGTGGTGAGGCCAAGTTACACTGTCCCTGGGAGGGATGGTCTATGAGTACTCAGTGATCCTGTGTAACAAACCTGAAAAATGCTGCCCCATGACAGACCAAATAGCCAATCCAGGAGCAACCCACCCCCTCTGCCTCCATAGTCCCCATCAGCTTCTCCCTGCACAGTATTTGGAATATTTACCTGGCATTCCCTGTTCTCATACCCAGAGCTGGGCAAAGTAAGCCTTAAGCCCACCACCTCCATAGCCCTTCATAGGGATGGGGGTCCACCCCGCCCATAGCCAGCCATGCCTTGGGGCCTCTGCCAGCTCCCCTGGGGAGGAGGTCCAGTAGTGGGGAGGGGGCAGGTGCTGGTCCCTGAGGCTCTCAGGACAGCTGCTGCAGACACTCCCTGTGGCTGTGTCTTGGGGCAACAGGTCTCCACTATAGCTGGGAAAGCAGCACGGTCACTCTCAGGACTGGCCTGTGCAAAAGAGAGGCATAGGACAAGCAGGGACACGGGCCTCAGGCCACAGGTGGGAGCACAGGGGGACCACAATCACAGACCTGGCCTCTTGTCATCTCCGTGTTGATGCTCCTTTCCACAGTCTGGCTTTCCTGGGATGATGAGGATCATAGCATGGGATGGCTCTTGCAGCCACAGCCCTCCTATCACCCCAGCTGTCCCTTCACCATCCACCTCCTCCAGAAAAAAAGCCACCTCCCAGCCCTTCCTTGCCCCTCACCTGGTTTTACTACCTTTTCCCAGCCCTGTAGCCACCTCTCTATGCCACCGTTCCTGCCATCTGTAGGTCTGCTTCTTTCTGGGTAAGGGCCTCATTTCCTCCTACTATGGACAGATGGGGGCAAGAGTGGGAAGGGGCAGTGCGTCCACACACTGTCCACCTGGCACCATCTCAGCTTGGCCACCTCAGAGGGCCCCGTAGTAAAGGCCGGGGAAGGGCTCTGATTGGCCCGGCATGTGCTACAGGCTCATCCCTGGGCCAATCACTGTGCCAGGGACAAGGAGGAGGGCTGGGACTGGCCAGGCCTCAGCCATGCACCGCCTCTGTGGCTAGGAGGGTGGGTTACTCCACTGCCCCTCCAGAACCACGTGGAATCTGGGAAGGGAAGCTCCCCCAAAGAACTGCTCTGAGCGCTGCTCTGGGGGAAGGGGTGTAGATGGGGTTCCTGCCCAGGTGTTGACTGGGTGGCAGGGAGGACAGATGGTGGAGGGTGTCACAGGTGGCCCCACAGTTCTTTCTAACTCAGATCCTCTGTGGCTCAATGATGCAGACAGTGGCCGTCTGATAAGAGAGAAACACAGGGCTTGGAGGTAGACGGGGAGATGGAGTGAGAAGAAGAGGAGGCAAGGAGACAGCGAGGCAGACAAAGCCAGGCCTCGAGAGACAGAAGGGCCACACGGGCAGGCCGCGGCCACATCCCTCACTCCTCCCAAGGTCGCTGCCACGGGCTGTGGGGGCAGTGAGGGCAGTGGTGCCCCTCGGCCCGGCTCCCTCCCGGGCATGGAGACTCCACAGCCTTGGGAAACTCGGTGTTAATTAGGGGCCTGGCTAATGGCTCGGAAGATTGGCCAGTTCCAGGGACGCTGATGAATAGAGACCTCGGTGAGATTTATTCCTAATTATCTCATTTGTCTCCCCCCATTACTCTTTATGGTCAGGATTTATGGGACCATTAGGGGGGCCCAGCCAGGCCAAGAGGAGAGCGAGCCTTGAGATGCTTCCTAATAATAACAATAACAACCCTCGTCCTAGCCAGATTAATGGAGGGTTTGCCTTCCTGCCCTCTCTGTCCCCTGTCCTTGGGACCCCAGATACCTGCTGCCCTCAGATCCCTCTCCCTCCCAGGATCCCTGGTCCTCAGCCACCTGTGGAGTTCAAGTGTATGGCCCCCTCTGCCTCTCATCCCAAGCCTGTCACTTAGCCTTTCTCAGTGCCACCAACTGGGGGCTCAAAGTAGCAGCAGGAGGATCCAGTCCCAAAGGTAACACCTCTAAGACAAGGTCTGAATCAGTAATCGATGTATTTGGCAGCAAGCAGCAGAAAATCCAAATAAGTGTGGCTTAATCCATAAGGACATTTATCGTTTCCTTAACAAGAAATGCAGAGGTGAATGATCCACGAACTGATCAGGAGACTCAAAGACGCCATCAAGTAGCCTGGCTTCCAACCTTCTCCTCTGCCATGCTCAGAATGCGGCTTATGTCTCCCCTCCTGGTCACAGAATTGCTACTGCAGCCCAAGCACAGTGTCCTTCCACACAGCACCCCACAATGCACAAACAGCAGGGGAATAAAGGGGGTCTTCTCCCCCTGCAGCTTTTACCACAGGTTAAAAAAAATTTTTTTCCCCGAAGCCCCTAGCAGGCTTCTACTTGTATCTTCACCCAGACTGGGTCATATTTGGTCTTAGGTTGGGCTCCCCCAGAAGCAGGC